CTGCTTTTGGAATTGCGCTCAAAGATACTCGAGGGCTATCTACTCTATAAGTGATAGTCTAGAGAGAAAACAGCCTGTCAACATCACCTACCGCCAACTCTTGGGGTACTCTTTTTACCAACGATAAATAGGATTGACCGTCACGTTATAACACCCCCCACGGCTGAAAGGACGAATATGTTCGGTGACGGGGTTCAAACTCACGACTTGCCCTAACCACCATAGCATGCCAGGCCTCTCCAAGTTTAGAAAGCTGTGCTACTCAAGCTTCATGGAGTAGATATTTTTATTAACAGTTTTTAATGTTACTCTAAAGGTATGTAAGTGAGATATTTATTAGCTGTTCTAATGCTACTTTAAAGGTATATATATATGTGTGTGTGTGTGTGTGTGTGTGTGTGTGATGCACTCTTGTGGTTCAGCGGTAAGTCTACGGGATTATCAAGCTAAAAATCAGGTTTCGATACCCGTGGTAGGCAGAGAACAGATAGCTCATTATATAGCTTTGTGCTTAACATCAAACAAACAGAAATGTAAATGATATTTTTATTAGTGGTATGTAATGTTACTTTAAAGGAATGTATATGTTTTCGATGATTTAATTAAATGGGCATGTGATGGCTCTGCAGTAGAGTTCTGGATTTCGGAGCTAACATGCCGAGTTCCAATCCGTGTTAAAGCACAAAATATTCCCCGCACTTTAAGTATTGGGTGCATTATAAGAGTGACAGTCGATCCCTAATTGTGGATGGTGAGTTGCGGGCTACCTCCCACCCGGTTAATAGTTCAAAATTAGGGTCGGCGGTAGATAGCCTTAGTGGTTTTGCCATAAAAATACAGTAGAATTACCTAATTAAATATTTAAGATTGCTTCGACTGTACTATGAAAAAAATAGCTCAGTGAGATTAGAATAGTTCAATAAATTACTCATTTATTTGTTTATATAATTTCATAATAATTTTGATTCAAATCTGCCACTGTTTCCTATTATTGTGTTTGGAACATTACCAGTTGCTAATCGTATTAAAATAATTTTTGAACGTCATTACTTGTAAATGCTTGCAGATAGTTTGTTATTAAGTGTGCATATAAGTGTATTGTAATGAAGTAATGTAGCATAAAGATAACGTACTGATCACGAGTATTTAATACACAAAGGTTTGATCTTTATTTTCATGTCGTTACACAATGATTAATTAAAAATACTAACAGAATTGGGGAAAAATAAGACCTGGTTTCGCCATTAAAGGCATCGTCAGGTACAGACTGAACGTTTCAGTAATGATATACTTGTGAAACGTACAGTTCTCTTGTTTTTCCTCAATTCTGTAATTATGAAGTTTCACCAAGTACCGAAGGTTTCAAGTATCAATTATATAAAAATACTAACAATCTCATCCGCTAGACCGATGTTAATGCGGAAGTACTAATCAGTCACGAAGAGTTGTTTAACTCTATGGGTGGAATATAAAAAAAAAGATTATTAAATAGACAATAAAAATGCATGTTAATAAGGCTAAATTAGTAATATATATATATATATATATTTCTGTGTACGGGTAAGTTTGATTTCGTTTCTCACAAATTTCCTTCCGTTTGTTAGGTCTTTCTGATCGACAAAATTATACAGTGTATAATAATGTTAATTTTTATTAATTATGAAATTGTTTCATGAACGGAAAAAAAATAGTATTAGCATACTGTATAGGTTAATGAAAGTGAAGTTTTTTTACAGTGATACAGTAGACGTTCGTGGGTTCGAATCCCCGTCCCACCAAACATGCTCGCCCCTTTCAGCCGTGGGGGCGTTATAATGTGACGGTCAATCCCACTATTCGTTGGTAAAAGAGTAGCCCAAGAGTTGGCGGTGGGTGGTGATGACTAGCTGCCTTCCCTCTAGTCTTACACTGCTAAATTAGGGACGGCTAGCGCAGATAGCCCTCGTGTAGCTTTGCGCGAAATTCAAAAACAAACAAACAGTAGACGTACTCTCTGTTTATCTTTTTAAACATTACTACTTCTACTTGTTTATCTATCCATTATTTATATATATCCATCTTTACATCTGCTTATCTTGCCTGTCGTTTTATCAGTCTTTTTGGCCATTTTATGTCTTTATATTTATCTTATTTTTCTTCATAATATTAGTTCTGTTGTAATGTTTGTTTTATATACATATATATATATCACGTAGATAGTTCAGTATTAGTTATCCAATTGTACTTATGTAGTAATAACATTATTATCATCAGTATTAATTATCCGATTATATAACAACAATGTAAGTGATACTTATCTGATTGTACTTAAGTAGCAATTTTAGCGTAAAGATTTGAAAGAGATAGTTCCTAGTTTTTGTAGTGGCCGAACATAATTATCGACAGGTTTTGTTTCGTGATTGAGATAAAGTCGCAGTATGTGCTATCATCATTTATTTTTTTTTTACATTTTCTAATGGAACAAAAAAAAAGTAATCATAGAACACTTTCCAGATCATAACGTCACTGTAAACTACTTAAATAACAACTTCTATGTCATAACGTCGGTGAAAAAAAGTAGTTAAATAACACGTTCTAGGTGTAACACCTGTTTTTGTTTTTCTAAATTTGAAACTTCTGTCCTCTCGTCGTCAGAATACAGCATAAAGAAATCAGAGGCCTTTCCCTTTCAATCCCTTCGTAAAGTCTTGTAATTTTTAATAAGATCAAATATCCAGAGAGTCAACCATAGGGGATACAGTATTTACCGTTAACCAATAATGTGAATATGGTTGAAAGAAATGAAGTGGGAAACATTTTGGGATGAGTGATCATTGCATAATTAGATTTGCTGTTTTGTTGCAAGTTGAAATGCAAAGAAAATAAATTGTAGTTTCTAATTTTGAGAAACCTAATTTTGAGACCACGATACAAGACTTATCATAAATGAATTGAGGTAATGAGTATAAAGGTCGTGCGAGACACATTTGAGAATTTTTTAAAAAAATTATTGCTTTTAATTCAATATAGGTATGTACTTAAAAAAAGATGCATGGTAATACAGGAAAGAATCACACCTAATTGACTTACTAAATACATGAAGGAGAAAATCAGGGATACATGCCATAAGTGTTTAAATTAACAAATAGAATAGAAGATGTACATAAACACAGAAAAGCTAAGGATTTGGTTCAAAACAGATCCAAGGGACGCAAAAGGAGTTAAGAGAAACATCTGGCTAATAATGTTAAAACTAACAACAAGGGTTTTTTAAGTATGTTAAATGTAATCAAAACGTTAAAATGGGGATTGGGACCTTAAAGAGTCTTGATGGAAAGGTTTTTGTAGAAGACTCTGATATCTCTGAGGTTTTGATTTTTTCTTCTCTTCTGTTCTCACAAGAGTAAATATTACTAATATCCCTGATCCTGAGCATTTTATGGGAAATATCTAATTTGACCTGAATCATGTATACATTAACCCATTGGTGGTAAATAGAAAGACTAAAAGTAGAACAAGCAACAGGAACAAACGAGGTTTTTCCCAGAGCTTTAAAGGAGGTCAAAGATCATATATCCTTTTTGGTAGGTCAATAGGCAGTAGGCAGGTGTCTGAGGATTGGAGAGTTACTAATGTTGCTCCTATTTTTAAAGGTGTTGATAAGAGTTGCCCTGGAAATTACAAACCAGTTAGTGTTATTTAATTGGTGGGGAAAAATTCTAGAAAGTCTGATAAAAGAAGCTTTCCAGAATGATTCAGTGAAACATAATATAAACATAATATCACCATGGATTTACTAAATCTAAGTCTTGTCTTACTAATCTGTTAACTTTTTTTCCAGGATGTTACTTGTTATATAAGTGGTGTAAAGAGTGTGGACTCGGTGTAATTAGATTTTCACAAAGTGCCACACCGAAGATTAGCTAAGAAAACCACATCTGTTGGATTTGAGGAAAGACTAGTTAATTGGATTGTAGGATCATTGGATGAGAAAAGGCAAAATATTGTTATTACTTAAGTTCAAATATAACTTGATCCTTGTCATAGTGAAGTGTTTCAGGCAAGATCATAACAAGAAATGATTTTGGGTCTCTGGGGCAACAAGGTTTAACAACAACAAAAAACCAAGGTAGCAGTACTGAGAAAATGGCAGAATAAAAAGAATCTGTTTAAACACTGAATTTGCTTTTCACAATATGTCAACTTTAAGAAGCCAACTTTTTACCATGTATTCAGTTGCAGTAAATAATGATAACAAAGTAATTAAAAAGTAAAGAGTATGGGGGAGATATACTGCTGTGAAAACCAAATCGGTTTTTGTTTTTTGGATCACCTATGGTTCACTGCACCTCTTGAACTCACCTTATTGGCGCCCCTACTATTGACATTTAGCTTCTTAGTATTTCTAGTTGTATTGAGGATGTCGAGGTATTATAGAAAGACTTGAATCAATTAATAACTGAGGCAGGTATTTAACAAGTGATCTTTAAGAATGATAAGTGCAAGGTAATACACTTGTGTTGTCATAAATTGGATCACATGCCTTATGTAGATGGTAACCTACTCAATAGCATGACTGAACAAAGAATCTTGGTTCAGTGGTGGATAAATCACTCGGACCTTCAAAGTTGTAATATGTTACTGGTATTAAAGGGTAATAGAGTTTAGAATTGTACGGTGTATTTGTTGACACATCGATTACAAGTCAGAAGAGAAAATTACCTCTGTATAAAGACCACTAGTACAGTTCACTCGGAATACTGTGTACAATTTTGGTCTCCATATATGATCAATGATATTGATTTATTGGAAATAGTTCAAAAGAGGGCTACTAGAATGATTCCAGATATGTAAGGGTTATTTTCTAAGAATAGGCTAAGATATTTTAATTTATTATGCTTCGTTGTTATTTTAATGTTTTAAGTTGACTTAAAAGCTATTTACAGAAAGATTAATCTCCCAGTAGTTGTTGCACCTATTGCATCCTTATTTGCTACACAATTTTGGATTTTTTTTCTTAGATGACGTTACTTCACTATCCACAACTTCCAGTTCTACCGGATCTTGTGCAACTACAATTGTTGCCAATACTGACTGCCAGGAGTCACAGCGATGGGATGAAGCACAATCGACTAGGAACAGCAGCAGTCCGCAGATACCCAAAAAAGCAGAAAACGGTTCGTGTTTACCTCATCTTATTATAATAGAAAAGAGCTTTAATACTCAGTAGTACAGAAACGTTATTAAACTTCAGTATTTCATTGATTAAAATATTGTTATTTCGTTCGACTTTGTAAGGAATGACAGAGAGAGGGAAAAACAAAATCAAAGAATTCGAAACTAGATATAATATTCTTTTGTTTGTAACATATATACTGATCTGAACGTGGGAATTAAATTATATAAAAATGAAAGAAGATATGTTTATGAAACGATATGTCACTACAACTTTAATTCATTTTTCTTTCGTTTCCAAGTGGCTTACAGTGAAGAAGAATGCTTTAAATATATTCACAAACAAAACACATTTGTAAGTGTGGCGTTCAATTGCTCCATTGTGACGTCATGGGATGTTCTTGAAATGGCTAACGTTACTGTACTGTACAAAATCATTTTAGTTCACCGTATTAAAAATTTGGTTAAAGACAATGCTAGGAAAATTTCAAAGCTTTCAACAAGTTAACCGTGTTCAATGCTCATTATTTGCACGTGTGTTATTATATGTCATGGCTACCTACTTGAAGAGGTTAAGCGTTTTCCTTGAGAAAAGGCAAATTCTAAAATAGCTAAGCCATATACAATATATATATAATCATAGATTGAGATAGTTTCGATTATTATTCCAACATTACTTCAAAGTCACATATAAAAGTTTATTTTAAATGTTGGAGGAAGAGATTACTGGCTGCATACTTGTTTACTTTCCTTTCCAGGAGTGTAAAACCAGTTTCTAAGTTAGAAATGTCATTACTGTGAGAAAAATATCAGTTTTTAAGTTAGAAAGACTGTTTTGTTAAGTAAGAAAGCAGTTTGTAAGCTAGAAAGATCCTTAACATAAATAAAAAATCTGTTTCTAAGTTTGGAAGAAATGTTTCTCGTTGTTAGTGAAAAAAAAAAGTTAAGGTAAGGCTTCTTACTCTGAGTAAAAAAATCAGTTTTATAGTTAGAAATCTTTAATCATGAGTGTGAACCAGTTTATAAACTAGAAAAGTCCTTATTTCGAGTGAAAAACCAGTTTTTAAGTTAGAAGTGTCATATCGTCAATAAGGAACCTAGGCCTCCAAGTGGCTCAGCGGGTTTCGATACTCATGGTGGGCAGAGCACAGATAGCCCATATACAATATATATATATTTATGCATTTATGCTTAACTACAAACAAGCAAACAAATGAACCTGGTTCTAACTAAGGAACGTCCTTGTCGTAAGTAAAATAAAAATAGTTTCTTAGTTCGGAAGGCCTTTGTCACACCTAAAAATAGTTTTTAAATTAGAAATTTTTTGTAAGTAATCAAAACAGTTTTTAAGTTACAAAGACGTTTGCGTAAGTGAAAACTTCTATTTCCAGTCTTCAGTATACTTTAGGTAACTATAAACTCGGATATTTCTCTAATTATCAAAGATTACATGTAAGGAATATTTGATTTCGAAATTTGTAACATGTATTTATTTTTGCTTAAATTTTTATCATAAAAATTATTTATAAAGCTGGAGGGTGCTGAAGCCCCTCTCATGTTTAACTATACCAAGGAATAAGTAAATGATAATCTATCTACAAAAATACAAAACCTTATAACCCCAGCGAATCACGAAGATACTGAAACATACTGAGATCTGGAGACTGTGCTGGTCAAGAAAGATCAGTGAAGTCATGTTGATGTTTCCCGAACCAATAATGAGCAATATCAATGCGACAGTAAGTTGTGGCATTATCGTCTTGTCCAACTAGGTTGACATGTAACATTATGAAACGGACAATGTCAGCAACGCTGCCCATATACACGCTGCATTATTTGTATTCGTCATCCAAACTAAATCAAAAGAGATAGTCGAATACTGATACTAACTACTATTGAGAAATCTGTCTATTGAGACAAAGCATGATGTTAATAAAACTTTATAAGTCTGTTAGCTGCCTTTTCTATATATCTGTCATCAATGATTGGCAGCCACGTTATTTTCATAGTATAAAACGTATTCCACCCAACTACCAGTGGTGATAGCCTGTAATCACAGATGTATGTGAGCAGTAATTCAGAGAAATGTTTTTGTTTTGTTTGTTTAATAGTACTTCAAATACACAGGCAACTACTGAGGTACTATTTTTAAAAAGTTGGAGAAGTTGGTACCCTTCTCTACCGTCTTGTAAACTAACCATCACATGACTTCATCATCTCATTTGTAAGATCTGTGAGTTACACACGTAACATAATCAACCTGTTTTTCAATTGCAAATAAAGGAGTAGTTTATAAATGTGTGCAAGTCCTAATAAAGTGCCATTGTGCTTAAGTTGTTGTTGTTGCTATGCCTACTTTTCTACACATAGTCAACTCAGACCCTTTAAGGGATAGGTCATAAAAGCCATTTTGAAGTGATTGATGCAACTTGATTCACAACTCAATATATAATAAACAATAAATTAAAAAAATCGTTTTACTGACAAAACGGCTGTACATTCAGATTATTTTTGGAAAGGTGACCGTGATAAATATTCGAATTTCTAGAAGACCTTTTACTGTAACATTGTTCAATTTCTATACTCTAAAATTACTAGTTCTTGGGTTTCTGAGGTTTGTAAGATATTTCATTCATTTTGCTTTAAGATAAGCTCAAGCGATATCGACTTTGTATCTTCTTTGACTGACAACTTGAGTGCTGTGTAGTAACAAAACTATAAATATAGTTTCTAGTCGTATATTTTATCAGTGCTTCAGTTGTAATAGTAACGATAAAGAAGGCTCATAAAAACTGTTTATAATGCATTGTATGTGATTCAATACACGTCTATTTGTAATGTTTGGATTTCCTTTTAGATAACATAAAACATGTGTGATATGTGACCATTCCAGTGTTTATAAATTGTCCTAGAGCAAGAGCGATCACATTAAGTTATACGATATACGTAACCCAACCCAGTTTCATGTCCGTATAATGTCTGTATCTGGTTCCTTATTGTGTTACGGGACCTAAACAATTAATCAAACTCATTTTCGACATAATAAAACATACTTCGTAATTAGATACTTCTTTTTAATCTAAATTCGATATTCAAATAAAAAATATATATTAACATTACTGCTGGACTCCATGATAAATGTTAGAAACTATTTTCAGCTTCTAACTGCTAGTTATGAATAAATTAAATGAGAACTCTTTAGTGTCTTTGTTATGCTGTTATTGAAAGTACTTTTTTTTTCTACTGAGTGGAATTATTAAATAAAATAAAAGCAATATATTTTAAATATAGGAACCAAAGAGGGTGAAAACCAAGAGGAACATTCCATTTCAAGTAATCGCTACTCACCAATAAACGTCACCATAACCAGTACCAGCAGAAAAGGCAAGTTTTATTGTTGGTATCATTGTATAATAATAATAATAATCATCATTGTAGATGAGATACAACCAGATGTTCACCTGGTGTAATGGTGCTAGAAGTACAACCAGGTGTTTACTTGGTGTAATGGTGCTAGAAGTACAACCATGTGTTTACTTGGTGTAATGGTGCTAGAAGTACAACCAGGTGTTCACCTGGTGTAATGGTGCTAGAAGTACAACCAGGTGTTTACCTGGTGTAATGGTGCTAGAAGTACAACCAGGGGCTTACCTGGTGTAATGGTGCTAGAAGTACAACCAAGGGCTTACCTGGTGTAATGGTACTAGAGGTACAAACAGCTATGTATCTGGTGTATTGATGGTTGAGGTACAACTAGTTGTAATAACGATTGAGTAGCAAGCACTTGTTTACATTGCGTAATGGCGAGTGAGATACAACCAGATGTTTGTCTGGTGTATTGATGGTTGAGGTACAACTAGTTGTAATAACGATTGAGTAGCAAGCACTTGTTTACATTGCGTAATGGCGAGTGAGATACAACCAGATGTTTGTCTGGTGTAATGATGGTACATTTAGTTGTAATAGTGTGTTGAGTTGCATGCACCATAAAAAGTCCTTTTCTGGTAGCATATTAAAAGCCGAAACATAAGGTACAAAATAATTATTAGTTAGTATTTAGTAAAAACAAAAATAACCTATTAATAACAACTTAAAAGTGATCATATATGTTACTAACCATGACAAGTTCTAATAATCTTTGAAGTGAAATCAGTAGTTTTCCTTACGTAATGATTCATAAGGTACACCATTCATAATGTCGGTTGAGGTATAACCAGTTATTACTTGGTGTGGTGGCGAATAAGTTGTATTAGTAGTTGAGATAAACCTAGTTATTTGCCTTGTAATTGATTATTGTGATACCAATTTACAATGTTGGTTGTAATGCAAGCCGTTGTTTACCAGGTGTTATAGTGATTAAGATACCACCGTATGTAATGGTAGTTTAAGTACAACCAATTGTGTACCAGATGAAATGAGCGGGGCGTGGTCTATGGTTATTATTATTTTTTTTCCTAGCAGAAGTCTTGGTTTTCTGAGAACGTCAGTAACTTTCAGCTAGAAATTTTGCCTTATTTTTTCTTAGGCTAATATCGCATAGGTCTAATGCTGAGATTTTTCTTTTAATACTTCTGAGATAAAATTTTAACTTACAAGTCCGATCAAAATTTCTCAAATATTCTATCAACGCGTGTTTTGATCAAACGAGATTAGTTCATGACTCGTTGTGTCTTTTAATTTTTGGACTTTGTTCGTTATAAATTTGTTATTTTTCACTGATTTAGCGTTTCAACTGTCTCTTGTGATCGAAGCATAATCCAACCACAGAAGACATAAATCAGCAATATATAAAAATGCTTGTAAGCTTAAAATCCTGAAGATATATTGACATTTATATCTTTATATAGATGAAGTTGGTGAAGTATAATGTCTTTGTATTCTCTGTCACGTGAAGCAACTAAATGTTTCACTTTAGATGTGAAAGATCTCGTTCGATTTTCAAACCTTCTGTAACATTTAATGTGGTTTAAAATAATCAAAATGAAAGAATCGTTCGTTAAACTTTTTATGCTCAGTTTGTATTGGATAAACTTTTAAGATTTATACAGTAGGCAAGATAATGAACCAATGGAACTTTTCTTTATTACTCCTCGTCCTTAGGTATATGCGAATTAAACTTTTGAATTAAATAAAGAAATCTGAAACCGTTTTTAAAGGGATCTAATGCTGAACAAAAGTAATAGTTTTCATGACTTTATTATTATAGTAGTCATTAAGTATAATGTAGAATATTTAAGTATTTTCTGTTTATTAGTATATTTGAAGGTTTATATTGTGTCTCAGGAGAGGGGGTGCAACAAATAAAATAATTGCACTTATTCCAGCCTTAATATAAAGAATTAATATT